ATAATGTCTGTTAATTCTGCCTAAAACAGCACTTGCCTTTTTAGCCACCACATCTCACCGTTAGCTCATATTCAGCTTATGATCTACAACAACTTCAAGGTCCTTCTCACTGAGCCAGGTATCCCCCATCTTGTTACTGTGTTTTTCCTTTTTCTGGTACAATACTTTGCACTTATACCTGTTAAATTTCATTCTGTTGTTTTCAGCCCAGTGCTCAAGACTATCTAGATAATTTGGAATTTTGTTTCTGTCTTCCAGAATGTTACCTTTTCCACCCAATTTTGTCATCTGCAAATTTGATTAACATTCCCTCTATCCCCTGATCCAGGTCATTAATAAAAGCATTGAAGAGCACTGGGCCCAGGACTCAACCCTGGGGTACCCAATTTGTTACCTCCTCCTGGTTTGAAAAGGACACATGAATCATCACCCTCTGACTACAATTCTGTAGCCAACTGTCTATCCACCTGACAGTAGTTCTATCCAGCCTACACCTAGTTAGTTTGCTAATCAGAATACCATGGGGCACTTTATCAAAAGCTTTGCTGAAGTCCAGATATACTGTGTTTACACAGGTTCCTCCTTTTTGAAGACAGGGACAACGTTCGCCTCCTTCAGCCATCTGCCACCTCACCCGTTTCCCATGATTTCAATAAAATAATGGACAGTGATTCTGAGAGTTCTTCACTATTTGTACAAAATCTCTTGAGCAAAGAAACTATGTTGGCTAGGCAATGATTAATTTATTCATTCTCAGAAACTAACAGATAATTGGATAAAACTCATGGAAGAAATAAACGTCAAGAAACAGCTGAGAGCCCTGATGTTGTTCAAGTGGCTTAGTAACAACTTAATTAAAGTCCTGATGCATGCAAATATTTCAGCAAATCAAATAGCCCATCAGTTCCTCACTAATGGGAGACCCGAATATCACCACAGGAAATTAGAAATGAAACAAACAACTGGAGATAAAGGACCATTCAGCTTAAGCAAAGTGGGAAAAGCTGTTTGTAGCTGAAAAAATGGCAAGGCAGCAGGCCTGGAAGACACCTGCATAAAAAAAGATAAAACATTTTGGCACAGTACCAAAAATGTCCTTAATTTCTTTAATAATTGTCTCGACTCCCCTAGGATTCCAGAAATTTAGAGAAAGGCATGAGTGACTGATATTTTGAAACTTGCTGTAGAATCCACAGACTCAATATAATATCAGTTTTAACAAGGAATGCAGTCCGTTTTGAGTACAATCTCATTATTTTGTCATATTTGTAAAGTTGTGAAGAGAACGATTCTAAACCCTCTAATGGATGGACCCCCCCCCCCCCAAATTGACTACAATCTCATTATTTTGTCATACTTGTAAAGTCGTGAAGAGAACGATTCTTAACCCTCTAATAGATGTAGTGGAATGGTCCTCATTCCATAACAGACTGGCTTTAGACCTGAGAAGGACTGTATAGAACAAATCCTATATTTAACACAACATATCGAAGATTATCTTTGATGGCAAGAAAATCACAAAAATAGTCTTTGTTGACTTCTCGGTCGCCTATGACACTGTTCATCATCAAGCACCATTATAAAAACTCTATAAGGTAGTTAAAGTAATAGTTACCTTTGTGCAAAAACACAGATTTCTCATCAATGACCAACTACTTCCTCAACTACCTCCCAAGTTTTATTTATGCTGATAATCTCACAGTTGCTGCTCATTCATACAACTTTCAGATGGGTACATATTATGATAGAAATTGACTTAAATTCAACCCTACTATAAGGGTGACTGCATGGTCATTAACCACCGGAATTGCTCTGCCTTAAAAATGGGCATACTCAACCCCCCCCCCCCCCGCTGCATAACATACAAGGCTGAATCAAATTAGTCCAGCCTTTTTCCTGCCAAACTGTTCCCCACTCCCTTCTGCCTGTAGAGGGCTGCTACTTTTTTTTACGCCAGAAGGTTTCAATCAGGCTTTCCCCCTGCAGATATTGTTGTAAAAATGGGGGCATGTCTGTAGCACCAACATTCACCTCTCCTCTCCCAAGACACTGGGGATCCCCAGAGAGGATACGCGGCTGAGACCCAGGGGGATTCTATCTGGCTCGTCTGCAAACAACATTTTTGTGCTGGCACATATCCAATCTCTGGGTCTTCCTGAACCATATCAGGTGACACTTGCAACTCTTGTCTCTCCCTTGCAGCATCCGGGTATCCAACCAACACATCCACAAATCATACACATATAAAAATCCTACCCATCTGGGGGATTTCTGATACAGTTCAGTTGGGGTTTCAGCTTGCTACTTTCCAAGATGTAAATGCTAGATTTTTAAAAATCATTTTGAGTTCAATGTTAGATTTTTTAACATCATTTTGAGTTCAGATTATTTGTGTTAAAATTTCATAGGTATATTTGATTAAAAGTAGTTTTCGAGGTAGAGGTTAAGAGGGGGTGTCACAGTTTTCTAATGTCCTGTTATTTCCCAAACTGTAATCCTTGGATAAACTACTTAATGTTAGATTTTGTGAATCCTTGCAGGTTCTGTTATAGGTATGTTTGATTGAAAGTAGTTTTCTTAGAGGTGGATGTTAAGATCGAGTATAACAATGACATCCAGCCAACACCTCCCGCCGTCACATTCTCTAACCTCCCTGATCGTCCACTATTTTTATTTTATTGCCTTTGAGTTTATTGCTGGATCATCTCTGCACATATGAAATATTTTAAAAGGGGCAGGAAAAAGCAGTGAGCAAGACAAAATGAAAGAAGATGCCATGGAATGCGTGAAAACCAAACTACTTTACAACAAACCATAAAAGGAAAGCCAAAGGCAGGACTAGAGGAAGGAAGGCAGGAAGGCTGTGGACTGGTATGCCCATCACAACATGTCCCATGTGAACTCTGAACAGCTAAAACATTCCACAGTCCCTGTGTGAACACTGATTATGGTTTTAAATGCAATATAGGCTTTGAAGCCAAATTGAGCCAAGCCGAGTCCTTCCAATTTAGCTTTCCAATCTAGATACGCCATGTGACTCAAATATGTACCTTTTGTCTGAGAAACATGCAGACATCTCAGAAACTTCAGGTTACATGGGTGTCCAACTAGATAGGTAAAGGTTTCCCTTGACAATTTGTACAGTCGTGTCCGGCTCTAGGAGACAGTACTCATCTCCGCTTCCAACCTATAGAGCTAGCGGTTTATCCAAAGACAATCTTCCGTGGTCACGTGGACAGCGCGACTAGACACAGAACGCTGTTACCTTCCCACCGAGGTGGCACCTATTTATCTAGTCGCATTTTTGCACTTTGCATGCTTTTGAACTGCTAGGTTGGTGGGAGTTGGGACAAGCAACGGGGGCTCACTCCATTGCATGGATTTGATTTTATAACTGCAGGTCTTCTGCCCTTGCAGCACAGAGGCTTCAGCGGTTTAACCTGCAGTGCCACCACATCCCTGTCCAACTAAATATCAGTGTGTTGTTTTGGATTGTACACATCTGTAAGAAACACTGCCTAAATACAAAGCAAAAGATCTCCACGAAGACCAATAGCCTTTAAAAGCTAGCAGGAACCACTTAGGTCACTTAACCATGAACACTAGGAACTAAAGCCTTAGCTCTAGGCTGCTCTGCATGTGAATATGCCAACTTGGTGTGGTGTCCTTAAGCCCATGCAAAACAAGTAGATATAGCACTCAGTGAAAGGTGTAGAATGGATGCCTGAAGCCAACCCTTATTGATAAAATTAATTACCGTACCCAGCAGGCATTGCACTCAGTGGCACAGAGAGGTGGCAGCTAACAGCTAAAGACTCAGAGCATCTACACTGAATGCACATCTGCTCTTTAACTACCAACCCATCTCTCCCAGAATAAAATAAAGAGAAATGTTTTTCCCCCAAAACATCTGTGAATCTTAAAGGAATAGGAGAGAATAGCAGAGCATGATGCGGAAAGAAAGAACTACCCATCTCTTAAAATGGAGAGAACCCCAGGAAAGTCTAGTCTCTGGTGACATGGGGAACTAACTGCATTACTTGGAAGTCACATAGCAAGCTATGTGATGGGGTTGGCATTATCAAGGGGAACCTCATAAAATGGGGTTTCTTTGTGTTTTTAATGCCAATACAATCTTTTGTGAGTACAAGGAAGAACAGACAACTTCACACCTATTGTTTCTCAGAGTACTCAATGCCCCTCAACATGTACCATTGAAGACTTGAGGTCAGCTGCCCCAAACGCTCTTTATGTTGCTCACTATTTGATGAGCATTATCTGATCTACTTATTAATTGTACTGTGGTGCTTCAGACATGAACAAATAAGGTCTCCCACAGAACAATTTCAAAGTTCAGTGCTGGTTTCATTGATACAAACCATATTGTTATGAACAAGCAGCAATGAGACAACTTGGACAACAAATATAAAACGTGAAGATACATACATGCAATTTATGCCATCATTGTTTTAATCCTGTTTTGTCTGTCTTGGTGGAGGCTCCAGCCATTCAGCCAGTTCCAGAGACAGTGTGAATTCCTGCTACAGGTGCTATCAATTAATGCCTTTATTCAACAGCAAGATCAAAGCCACCCACAGATGGAGCAAGATAGAACAAAAGGCAGTGGAGCCCCCATAACATCACCCACTGATGCTCACAATTAAGAAGACGAGGACGACTAGTGGGGCACCAGCTAAATATGGAATATAAAGTGCAGTCTATGAATAGCAGGGGAACAGGAAAGCAAGATAGACATCGTTTCATAGATTTCCCATTTTCCACATCTGTTTCATAAGTCAACTATTCTAAAATTAGCAACAATTTCAAAAAGACAAGCAAGAATACCTGAACACAAACAATCTGATAAAATCATTTCTAAAAGTGATTGCCATTAATTTCTCCATTCTCCAGAGCAAGAATACCTGAACACAAACAATCTGACAAAATCATTTCTAAAAGTGATTAGTTTGCCATTAATTTCTCCATTTTCCACTGCTTACCTTCCTCAACAGAAAGCCTTGTGTTGCAGGAGAGTCAGGGCTCAAAAACCACTCCTCCAGTTAACTCCCTACACCTGTATAGAGGCCTTTTGCTTTCTGGGCTTAACAACACTCAGGTGTTGGTTTTTACCTGATGGCTAGAGGAGACAGACATTTCTCCTCCTGTTTGTCCTGAAGTTCCTACTGTTGATTTTGATGGGGTTTTTCTCTCAACAACATGATGGAAACCTGATTGTGAGTAGACTTGTTTTTTCTTCTCCTTATATTTGCAGCATTTCCACTTGCATGGTTTCATCTTGCTTTCTAGCTTGTGCAGTCACCTTTAGCAGTCCTGGGGCCAGTGGGCTGTGGGTGTCCTGATCACACTGAGGGCAACATCTTCGTGGAGATGGGGAGTGATGGTTCAGCATTACTTCCTTCAGGCTCAAGGTTGTAGGACTGACACATCTTAAGTTTCTGAAGGAAAGTAACATTTACAATGTTAATTTCCTCCCTTACTGCTCCATTAGATCATGTGGAGTCAGGCCAAGGCTGCTGAAAGACAAAGCCTTTAGAGTCCATATTCTCTCCTTCAGTGGTTGCCCTGACCCCACCAAAAAGATTTCTTGCAAAGACACAAAAAAGCAGAGTTAGAACACACATCCTTGTGTGGGATGATGGAAGATACTGCTTTCCCCCATATTTTTCTGTTTGGAGGATGTGACTGTCATGACGTGCTTTGGTTGCCAATAATAAATCATTACACTAATTGGGAGTAGCAGTTGTTAGAGATGGGGCTGGGATGTAAGCTGTCAGAGGTGTGTGTGTACACCTGCAGCAGTGGTGGTGAGCTGCCTGCATGAAAATATTGTGTTGCACTTCCTATGGGAAGATGAGTCCTTTTTTCCCCCTAAAAGATGTATCTTGGAGGCAGGCAGGAAAATAGATGTTCTTCCCCATTCTTGCTAAGAGCCTAGACAAAGTTAAACGGCTGATAGTGACAGACAGACCCCTTGTTCATTTTTATGAAACAGAGCCTGGTCACGGACACAGCAAATCAAGAGAAATGTCCAAATAAGAAGCTCAGGCAATTCCTTTCCTGCTCTTTGAGATGGGCTGAGAGGAGCTGCAGGTTCATGTTGGCCACTGTGGGTGGAGGAAGGATTTTATCAGTCAGAACCAACTCCTATGGCAATTGAAAAGAAGTGATGCAGGAATACTGTGCCATGTCAATTCAGCACAATTTCACTTCATAAACTGAACTTAAGAAGTGGGGACTGACAGGGAAGAGGACAGGCCCAGTGGCAGAGGAGGGTGGGGCATATATTATGGGGAGTAATGTGCACCTTTTGACCCCCTGTTATGTGGACCCTCGCAATGCACCTCCATGGGGTGACTAAGTATTTCCTTGAGGATGACAATATGTTCAACCATGCAAAGTGAGAGAATAGGGTATAAACTTTTCATGTCAGCCCAGAACATCTCTGGTTGCTCCCTGAGAAAGCAAGGCTCTTGAATACATGACAAGTCTAGATCCTTGACCTTGATTCTTGATCTATGGATTTAATTTTATATAATTTTTCTCATCTTATGACAACCTTGTATAGGTGGGTGAGGTGGAGGCACTACAGTAGACCCATAAACTAAATTTGTCTCATTCTTTTCCTAATAAAGGGGTACAGTACTTGAAGAAAAGTTAAAAATAAATGCAGTATTTTTGAACTGCATTGAGCCATCTGTACTACTTTATTTTTGTGTAATCTCCCCACAGATCTGTACAATATAAGATTGTTGCCTTCACTTTAGCTATAAAAACCATGAAGGTTATATAGTATTATATTACCTTTATGGTCTCAGTGGAGTTTTATTGTTCACTCTGCTTTTATCATTTTGTTGGCATACTGGAACTTGACTTGGGTTTGATGGTATGGATGTAAGATTCTTACATTTTTGAGCTCAGTAGGTCAATTCAGATATTACACAAACCCATGACTTCAACTCATCACATTTAATAACCTACACCATTGTTTTTGAGCTTTGAGATGTACAGCAGGAAAAACAACATTTAAATCTGTTTATCTGGTTTTTGATTCTATGCACTTAGCACTCAGCTTCAGCCGAGTTCCCATCGTTTCCTCAATGGTTCATAAATTTGAATATAATGACAAACTACAGTTAAGAGTAAATCATGGCTTGCAAACCACCTTCATGCTCTACTTTAATATGCTGCTTTGGCAGGCCTTGTGGTTTAGGAGCAGACATAGGTCTGGCATGAAAGCAAAACATGCAGCTATTGACTATTTATGCAGAAATTCTAATAAACTGGGAATAAGCTGTAAGCAGCGTTGTGGGTTTTCCGGAAAATTTCCCAGTGCCTTAAAAAGACCATGATCTGATTTAGCATGCTTATTAACCAATGTATTCTATTCAAAAATGTTTTAATGTCCCAACAGCCCATAAATATTTGAATCATTGATATATTGGTGGTTGGACTACTACTAGACTAGGGCTGGAAAGTCTTGGATTGTACTCTCCATTTAGCAAAGAGGTTTAGCAAGTGACTTTAGGGAGCCACTCTCTCTTAGTCTACCTCGCTAGCCATGATCCTTAGGATCTTGAACTCAACCACAGCAGAATCCTACTGTGAAAGCCAGTATGATAGTTAGAAACCCAGAGAGTGTATGTGAAATGTTTCCAAAACTCAAGGAAAGAAATGGCGCTGTTCTTCAATTTGAAAGTGAACAAGAAATGAGACCAGTTTTGATTTGAACTACACAGTCTAAAGGTTATTTGATAACTTTGGTTATCTTCCCTGTTATATACGTGTCTATACAAGGTTTTAGTGATTTAAGTGAAAATGAATTGCTATATTAATTTGCTCTAAGGTATCATCTATTCCCTGTTATATACGTGTCTATACAAGGTGATTTAAGTGAAACTGAATTCCTGTATTAATTTGCTCTAATTTAAGTGATAGGTATCATCTGCTTATCAAAGTAAAAGAGCAATAAGTCTTAATTAACCAGTTGCAAGTATTTGACTCCTTGGAAAAAAAAACCCTATTGACTTTGTGAATAAAATAAACCTGTTCCATTCATACCTGTACACCATTCTCATTGGCAGCTTTCTGGCCTTAGCAAGGACTTGTGTTGTCATGCAAGGAATCCTCCAAGCAGTCAACTTTAGTTGTTGAGGTCCAGATGGTGAACTGTACCTTCTTCTTGAATTCTCAGATCAAAGTAGGGTAGTGGATAGAGCTATTATGCACCTGCAGAAAAATTGGGGGGGGGGGGCTCCGAAATAGAATGGGGTTGGGGGGAAATTCTCCCCCCATTGGAATTTTCCCATAGGGAAATGGTGTACTTCTTTTGAGGTTTCCCTGATAACAACAGTTGTGATGGTTCTGATTCAGATGAGGATCCTGAGTGCTGATGGGCCTTTCCATGTTGATGCCTCCCACTTGGTTTTCCTCCATTTCCTCCAGAACTTTGCTGAGTCAAGAATTGGTGTTCACCTGCCAACATCTGCATTACATCGCTCCATGTCAATAAGTGACTCAAAGGTGGGGATCTGCCAGGAGAAAGTTGTGGAGTCTTATCTTTCTTCAGCTCGATCCCAGAGAAGCTAGTTCATTCTGTTCTCTATTTTGTCAGATAGTTGGCTGAGAACGCTGGAAGGGCTGAGCTACTTTTTCTTTGTTTGGACTTGACGTTTGACTTCTCAGTCTGCGGTTGGTCTGGATGAGGTCTTTTTTATTCCTTCGACGCCAATGGCATTGTTTTCAAAGTGGTGGTGTCAAAGTTGGTTCTTCTGAAGGTGTCTGTTGGGAAGCATCTGACATTTGGGGAATCAATTCTTCTCGAACTTGAAGTGTGACATCAGTTTGGACAGATTCCATGAGTACTTCTTTGGAAGGTGCTTTACGAATTGCAACTAGAGATGGGCACGAACCAAAAACAGAACCAGGAAATTCATGGAAAAATCACTGATTAATTGGTTTGGGTCAGTTCTGATGGGGATCCTCTTGTGTTCTACATTAGACATTACATAAAGGCCCCTGATCTCTCCCAAGAATCTGAATTTTGCTTCCCTGCTGAGGTCTACTTGGGAATAAATAAAATAAAATAGAAAGTGGGAGGGTAAGGGAGTGAAATTATCAGGGAGATAGGGAGGGAAAACAAGAGAAGGGTTTTGGTGGGATGGGCGAGGTGTCCCTTAAAAAATGATATAAACATTCACATCACTATTTACTTCCCTTTGCTGTTTTCATCCCAATCAAATTGGGGATGGGGGGGGGGAGAGAAAAGTGAAGGAATGGATGGGAGTTTTCTCCTTTTTTTTCCTGGTAAGGCGTTGCTATAAGTACCTTAAAACCTAAAACAGCAGTCCAGCACCGACTTAAAACTATAACAGTGTGCCTCTTTTAACTTGACCTGAACTGAATTGGATATTTGCGCTCACTAACAGTGAAACAAATAGTTCACCCTTTTCTACAAACGTTGCCATCACTGCTTCCCTTCTGTTCTGGGTGTCCTCAGGTATTCCTTCCGGTTTTTCTCAGTTCCCTTTTGGTCCACCTTATTAGCAGTAGAGAGTTTTCTTGCAGTGGAGGTCTGTTCGAAGTCCTCTATTTGCTTTCTCTATTATTCTTCCCTCTTCTCTCTAGTTTTCTTTCTTTTCTCTTAGTGTGATCTCCACGTCTCCTGATGCAGCAGCCCGGTTTGGCTCTTCTGGCTCTGAAGCCTCTCCTGTCAAGCGGTTTCAAGAGAAAGGCATGCTTTGCAGAGTCAAAGTCTTCTGAATGGATGGACATTCAAGAGGGCTATTCTGCCTCAGAGCGAGGTTACATTAAGATAAAAACAGTATTTGAATCAAGTTTCTAGCATGTTTTAAATAATTTTTAAAAAGATGACTACACAACACAAGCAGAAGTGTGGATTGTTTGGACAGGGAATCGTTTTATTTTGATCAGAAACGAGATATTTTACTCTTCTCCCAGAGGGCTGTTTATCTGAACTTGGATGTCGAATTGATTTAATTTAAATCACTTCGCCATGTGTGAATGCCTTTGTCAGTGTTAAT